GCGCGAAGGCTTCCGAGAAGTCCCGCCGCCCGCCGCCTTCTGGGAAGGCCTCCTCCTTCTCGTGTCCCCCCTCGCTCGTCGCCGAGCAGAGGGGTCGGAGGGATGGGCGCTGGGTATGGGTGCGGCTTGCCCCACCCCGGGGGGCGCTCCCGTTCGAGCGGGGGCCCCCCATCCCGACAGCACGCGCCCACGGCCCCCTCCGTCACCCCTGTGGGTTTTGTGTGTGTGTGTGGTTTCAAGGGCAGAAAAAAAAACGCCCCTACCCTAGTTTACGAGGCGCTGTGCGCTGAAACTCCTGTGGGCTGACAGGGTAAACCCTGCGTGATGCGCCGCGTCCTGGCGGCTCTAGGCTTTGGGGTTTCCCTGGAGGTTTACAGACCGCGCACTTGTCACCCAGGGTAGGGTCGTTTTTTCATCCCTCAGTGGTTCGTTTGTCAACCTCGGGGGAAATAAAGATACCAATGCCCCTGCTTGCCCTGGAGAGCCTCGTCGCCACGGCTGGATTTTCCTCGAAAGCCTGGCCAGATCGCGGCCCGATCGTGAGGTCCAGGGAGTACTGGTGCTGGTGCCTCTTTCTCTGCCCACTACCCCTGTGGGTCCAATTGCCGCCACGGTGACGGACACCCCGGCTGGGGCCCACCCAGCTGCAGACAGCCCCGATCGAGTTCTGGGCCTTGGCTGGCGTTTCAGAGATTGGACCTGCATGAGTGCACGGTTCACCTGTGTGAAGCAGTTGCGAAGCGTCCTGGCTCACCTAGAGCCCTACCAAACGTTGTTCTAAGAACCTTCTGGTTGCCACGAAATGTTCTTAGAACATTTCCGGCGGAGTCTGTCTTGGTGGAACACATCGGGCTCTTGTTCTAAGGACATTGTATTTGTTTTTAGAACCCTTTCTGGCTCTAAGAACATTGCGTGGTAGGAATATAGGAATGCTGGGACGGTCGGTCCCTGATCAACTGTGGTTGCCTCCCCGCGCCGCCGCGGCCAGCGCGCCCCCGTCCTTGCTGCCGCCGCTCTCGTCGGCTCGGACGTGTTCTCGTCGGGTCCGGGAGGTTCCCGGCGGCTACCAGACTCCAGCCTCGTGTTGCTTTCCATCGCCATGACGCCTCACGGGTCCTCAGGGGAAAAGGGTCCTGAGAGTCTTCGTGGTTTGGGGCCTCTCTGGGCCCTCCGGGGGCCTCGGGATGGTTTGGAAGCGGCTCAGGGCGAACAGTTGGTCCTGTAGGAAGGCTCCAGGTTCCAAGGCTCCTTTCCCTCAGGGCAGTTTTGATTCATGCCGACTGCAGCACCTCGTCCTCGTTTTTATCCTCTTCGACTTCCTCACTCCTGGACCTCTCCAACGTCCTCTCCGCTCTCTGCAGATTCCTGACCCGCTCTCTCCTCGTTTCGACTCCATCGCCCTCGCCTTTGCCTTCGTCGTCCTCCCTATTCCTCGTTCCAGGGCCCAGAGGCGAGGAGGCCGGGGAGAAGAGCAGCGTGCCCAGCAGCACCCAGCAGCATTGCTTGTGCAGAGAGAGAGAGAGAGAGAGAGAGCAGCACCATGGGCTCGGCGATGCGTGCTCCTCGCGTCGCAGCCTCCTCGCCGCCCTCCTCCCTGCCCTCCTCGCCCCGGCCGTCAAGGGCCGCTCTGAGGGCCTTCGCGAGGGCCTCCGATGGGGCCGCTGAGCGCCGCTGTGAGGGCCGCTGTGAAGGCCTTCGCGATAGCTTCTGAGGGGCCGCTCTGAGGGCCGCTCTTGGGGCCGCTCTGCGAGATCGCTCCGGGGGCGCTGCCGAGCGGCGCGGAGAGGCTTCGTTCGGCCTTCGCGAAGGTCTCTTTCGGAGGAGCCGCTCTGAGGGCCGCTCTGCGGTGTCGCTCTGCGGTGTCGCTCTGCGGGCGGTGCCGAGGCGCGCGGAGTGGCATCCCAAGGTCCCTCCGCCGCGCCCGAGGGGTGGGGGGAGGGCATCCGTGGCCCCGGGGGGGGGGCGGCCCGCCGCCCGCCAGGTCATCCGCCCGGCCTCCGCCAGGGCAGTCAGTGGCATCCATGGGGTCCGCCGATGCAGTCATTGCACGCATGGCAGGGAGGGGCGGGGCGGCCCGCCCGCCAGGCGTGGGCATGTCGCAGGGCGGTGGCGGGGGGCCGCGCCCTCAGAGGTCCTCGCCGGAGGGGGGTGTGCGAAGGGGGCGTCTCGGAGGAGGGCGGGGTGCAGGCAGCGGCAGTGGGCCTGCAGGGAGGCCCCCTCGCCGCCATGGCTGTGCGCAGCTCTGAGAGCCGGTGCGCCTGGGCCCGGGGAGGGGTCTGTCAGGGGGGGGAAGAAACACACCGACACAATTGAATCGTCGATTCCCAAGAAAATGTGGGAACACATATGGGAAGTGGGGGGAACCCTGGCCCTCCAACCTTCCGGACCTTCCGGGTCGGGCTGTTTTTTTTACGGTTTTTCACAAGAGTTTCGTAAAGTTTGCATGGGTTTCAGTAAATTTCTTTGAGTTTTATATCATAAGGTAAAGTTATTATGAGTTATTGTATGTTTTCTCATAGTCCTTCAATGTGGTCGGAGATCAGGGAGTGAGATCGGAAGTCGGTTCGGTTTCGCGTTCGCGTCGCGCGTGCGATGCGGAGCGCTTCTTCTGGCGCCCAGCGCGCGGCCAGACGAAAAGACAGCCCCCCGTCCCCCCCCCACGCGGCAGGGGGGAGTCAGGGGTGTCCCGCCGCGGTGTTCCGATGGTGTCTCGTGGTGTTCCGTGGTGTCTCGTGATGTATCGTGGTGTTTCCTTGTGCCTCGTGGTGTCTCGTGGTGCCTCGTGTTATTTCGTGGTGTTTTTCGTGGTGGCTCGTGGTGTTCTGTTGTGTTTCGCGGCGGTCCGTGATGATTCATGGTGTCTCGTGGTGTCTCGTGGTGTCTCGCGGTGTCTCGTGGTGTCTCGTGGTGTTTCGTGGGTTCTCGTTCTGGTGTTTCATGGCGGTGTCTCGTGAGGGTGTTTCGTGCTGGTGTCTTCGTGATGGTGTTTCGTGATGGTGTCTCGTGCTGGTGTCTCGCGATGGTGTCTCGTCATCGCGTCTCGTGATGGTGCCCCGTGGTGTCCCGCTGTTTTTCGTGAGAACGATAATGGGATCGATATCGAGATCGACAGTGAGATCCATAGCAGGATCGATAATGAGATCGATCGTGCCATCGATATTGATGTCGATAGTGAGATCGATCGTAATATCGACAGCGATAGCGATAGTGGGGTCGATCGGGAGATAGATGGTGACATCGATTGCGAGATCGATTGCCTTCGAGTGATAGATCGATCGAGTGGCATCGATAGTGGCATCGACAGTGGGATCGATCGAGATCGATAGTTTGGCCGACGGAGAGCGATAGGGAGAACGATATTGAAATCGATCTTGAAATCGATACGGAGATCGATGTATAGGTTGGTGATGTACTCGATCGAGTGGGACATTGCTCCCCTCCCCCGAGCCTCCTCATCGCCCGAAGGGTGGTCGTATATGTATATTTCGGGCTTTGATTTCACGCGAACAGAGCTTGCACGTAAGGGATTCGGCCGAGCTGTGGCATATGATGGCGAAACCTGCGGTGCAATTGGTTAGTCGGCCCCTCTATGGCGCAACCTATGCTCTATGGCGCAACCTATGGTCACGGCGCAGTTTGTGGCGATCAACGCATGGCGCAATTACGGCACGGTCCAGCGCCCTTCGACAAGCAACACAGGCGTCAGTCCTTCGCACGCCGCGCTCGGCAGGAAAACGGTTCTCAATTAAGCATGAAGGAAGCGTGTCTTGAGGGAACGGGCTTTGGATCCTTGACACCACCTTGGGTCCCAAGTTGGACCTCGACGCCCCTGGAGCAGTTCTTTGTTCTTTCGGGCGGTATCCGAGCCCGCCGAGGGGGCCTCGACGGCGAAAAACATCGTCCAACGTCCGTTCCACCATGACCCGCTTCCTTCATGGCGGACAGTGCTCTATACAACCGCCCTTGCCGATAAAATCCATGAAATAGAAGAAGCACGTCATGCACTGCAGGCGCGGCGACGGCCCACGGCTCCAGGGGCGACAGCGAGAAACCAGGGGCCGCGGGAGTGGAGGAGGGGGGATGGAGGACGGGAAATAGGGAGGACGAGAGGGGGAGGGGAGGGGAGAGGGAGGAGGGGAAGGAGAGAGGGAGGGTTAGGAGGGGGAGAGCGAGGGGGCAGGGTGAGAGAGGCCGTCCTCGTCGGATCCCCCCATTTCGCCCCAGCGCGGAGACAGCGAGGGCCCCCGAAGGCCAAACAGCCGTGAACTTGAATCCTCGTGGTTCGAGGTTGAAACCTCGATGTGGGGGGGAATCTTCCCTTGCCTCCTCCTCCTCCTCCTCCTCCTGATAGTTTTCAATTCGGCTTGACAAACATCCCTCCTATCCCTCATTATGATCTCCCTCCTAACCCTCCTCATCCCTTCTGCCGCCCGCGGATAATGCAGGGGCCTGCCGCGCGCGGAGCAGGGGCCTGAAACACACTAGTGTCGTTCAGCCTAAGGCGTGGGCCTCCAAGGAACTGAACAAAATTTCGAAGTCGCTTCCTCCTCCTCCTCCTTCTCCTCCTCTTCCTCCCCCTCCTCCTCCTCCTCCTTCTCCTCCTCTTCCTCCTCCTCCTCCTCCTCTTCCTCCTCTTCCTCCTCCTCCTCCTCCTCCTTCTCCTCCTCCTCCTCCTCCTCCTCCTACTCCCTCGGGCGCTCTACACCCAGAAGCCGCTACCCTGCGGGGGCGCGTCGGGCGCCTCAGGCTCCAGCTGCTCGTAGTCGTCGTGCACGCTACCCTGCGGGGGCGCGTCGGGCGCCTCACCGGGCTCCAGCTGCTCGTAGTCGGGCTCCAGCTGCTCGTAGTCGTCCTGCTCGACCACGGTGTCGGACTCGTCGGAGTCGATCTGCTCCGCCGTCATCTGCTGCAGCCACGCGGCCCACCTCTGCTCATCGGTGGGCGGGGTGCTCGGCGGCCGCGGCTCGCCCGCGCACGTGATCGCCAGCGGCGGCCCGCCTGCGCGCTCCCACGGCGGGTGGCTCGGCTGGCGCGGCTCGCCCGCGCTCCGGATCGCCCGCGGGCGCGGCTCGTCGGCCGCCTCCGCGGCCCCGATCGGCCGCTTCTTCGCCGCAGGCGCGCCGAGCCCCAACCGCAGGTGCTGCGCTGGGCTAGCCGCAGGCTCCGCGAGCCACAGCGCTGGGCGGGCCGTCACTGCCTCCGCCGCCGCCCGCCGCGTCAGCCAGGGCGCTGGGCGGGCCGTCACGGCCCCAGCCGAGCCGCTGCTGCCTCCGCTGCTGCCGCCTCCGCGGGCGGCCGCGCTGCTGCTGCCTCCGTGGGCGCGCCGCGCCCGAGCCGCCGCTTCTGCCTCCGCGGGCGGGACGACTCGTGCCGCCCGCCGCGCCGCGCCAGAGCCGTCGCCCTCCCTGGCGCGCGCCGACGGGCCCTGATGCCAACACGGCTACGGACGATCGAGGATCATCCCGAGGATTGGCTACCCCGAGGCTCGGCCATCCTGAGGCTTATCCCGAGGCTCACTCGAGGTTCGGCTCATCCTGAGGCTCATCCCGAGGCTCATCCGAGGCTCATCCTTAGGCTCGGCTCATCCTGAGCCTCTGGATGAGCCTCAGGATGGCCGAGCCTCGATCCCGAGGCTCATCCTAAGGCCATTCCGAGGGCCATTCTGAAGCAAGAGGAGGAGGAGGAGGAGGAGGAGGAGGAAGAGGAGAAGGAGGAGGAGGTGGAGAAGGATGATCGAGGAGGATTATCGAGGAGGAGGAGGAGGAGAAGGAGGAGGAGAGGAGGAGGAGGAGGAGGAGGAGGAGGAAGAGGAGGAGGAGGAGGAGGAGGAGGAGACCCCGCGTCGGGGGACCGCTGGAATCCCCCCGCCTGCAGTCCTATATCACACCAGACCGCTGGAATCCCCCCGCCTGCAGTCCTATATCACACCAGCCACCGCTCCACTGTGCAAGGAGGAGGAGGAGGAAGAGGAGGAGGAGGAGGAGAAGGAGAAGGGGGAGAGGAAAGGACGAGGGGAGGGAGCAAGAGGAGGAGCAGGAGAGGACACGAGGATGAGCTTTAGCTTAGCTTTAGCTTAGCTTTAGCTTAGCGTTACTGTTACTACTAATGCTGCTTTCCTAGGGGTTCCAACTCCCAGGTAGGGTCGCACTGGGATAATTATTGGTGTGGGCAAGAATAAACCGTGCCAGCACCCATCAGCACCCCTGTTGAGTCTCTGGGACACAGCGGTCTCTGCCGCGACGTCGCCGGCGTCGTCGTCGACGACGACGGAGACGACTCGCGGCCCGAAAGCCGGGGCTGGCAGTGCCAGCGCAGTGCGGATCCACATCCGCTGACCAGGTCAGCAGCAGCACGGCCTCCACGGTTCGGCCGCATCAGTTGGCCTTCGGGCGCGGGCGGGTGGGGGATCAAGCAAGAGGTGGGGGGATTGGAGAAGAAGGATGGGAGGCAGGAGTATAAAGATGATTATGGTGGTGATGGCGATGATTCTGATGATGACGGCGATGACTATGATGCCGATGACGACGACGACGATATGATGATGCTGATGATGATGATGCTGAAGCTGATGATGATGCTGATGCTGATGTTGATGTTGGTGCTGCTGATGCTGCTGATGATATTGGTGATGTTGTTGCTGCTGTTGGTTACGATGATGATGATGCTGGTTATGATGATGCTGCTGCTGATTATGGTGATGATTCGGATGCTGATGATGCTGCTGATGATGCGTGTGATGATGGTGATGCTGATTATGATGATGCTGCTGATGATGATGATGATGATGCGGATGATGGTGATGATGATGCTGCTGATGGTAATGCTGATGATGATGGCGATGCTGATGCTGATGCTGTCGATGCTGACGATTATGATGGTGATGGTGGTGATGATGATGTTGATGCTGTTGCTGCTGATGATGATGATGATGATATGATGATGATGAACATAATGGTGATGATGATGCTGCGAGGAGGAGGAGGCGGAGGAGGAGGAGGAGATTGATGAGGAAGAGGAAGAGGAGGAGGAGGAGGAGTAGGAGGAGGAGGAGGAGGACGAGGAGGAGGCGGAGGAGTGGGAAGAGCAGGGCGCGGAGCAGAGGGAGGGAGAGGGAGT